AGAACTTTCCATTTAGACCTGGGACTGTTCTTCTCCCTCTTATTTCCATTCTTTCTGTGACAGCTTCTTTAATAGCTGGATGCCTAAATGCACACAGAAATCTGGGTTAGCTCTGTGTAGTGATTATATAACCTTATCTTTTATTGTCTTTCATTCAATCTTTTTTCCAGCATGTTCCCGCTTTGTCTCATTGCTTAACCGTATGGCCAGGAAGAGTGCAATAATGAGTCGGAATAAACTGCCATGCTTGAGTGTTGGGGTGCAAGCGGCTTGTACTGTGTGTTGAGTATCTAGGCAGGCCAGCAGGCTTGTATGCGGAAAGTCGCCGCAGGCCAGCAGGAGTGTATGTGGAACGTCGCCGCAGGCCAGCAGGCTTGTATGTGGAAAGCTGCGGAAAGAAACAGTAGGAGAGGAGCTCAACAGCCGGCTTGTTGGGAGTAGAAGTATGCTACTGGGTATCTTACACTCATAAAGGAGAAAAATCTGTGCCGACTCCTGAATGCAATACACTTGTGTTTACTTCTTTATAATGTGCTATTTTCTCTATAGCTTTCTTACCACAAGCGTGTGGGAGTTGCCCTCTGTGGGTTCCCTACACGGGCGGAAGCTGAAAGTAGAGACCCTGCTCAGCTGTTGCCTTGCAAAGGCCTCTCTCTGCTTCCTCCTCTGCGGCTCTGCCCGTCCTGTTGTCACTCAGTGCCTGCGCTGGCCGGGAGCATGGCCCATCACTGGCTGCCGCTGGCCGCTGTCGCCATGGGACTGTGTGCTCAAGGTAGGAGCCCGGGGTCATGTCTGTGGGAGAGGAGGAGGCCCGTAGAGCTCTCAGGATCAACAGAGAAGACACCGGGTTTAACAGCGGTGTCACTCGACACATTTATTCATTTCAAATAAAAAGGCAGGCTCCTGCCTTTAACCTCTCCTCCGAATCTTGGTTGGGGATTGCTCATTTAGTGTCTGTCAAAGCAGGACGTTTTCTTGCTGTTTGAGCTTTTCTAGGTGGACACTTTCTCATTGTATCTTTATAGCAGGCCATTGCAAGGGAAGATCAACGCACAGACCCAAATATAACCAAATAAAACCCATATGGAATAAAACATTAGGATGGGTTGAACTAAGGGAAAACAGCAGTTTAGTAAACACAAAATTATTATTTTTATTTGACCAGATCAGTCATTAACATACACAAATGCGTCTTAGTTCTTTGAGTAACTTTGACTGTTGATTATAACTTCAGGCATAATATTCAGTGTTTTAACATGGAATCTTAAAGTGTCTAAAAGACAATGACAAGCACAGAAACAGTAAGAAACAGCAATAATATGGAATACAGTGATCATTTTATATTTAAAAAAGGGAAGAACATTTTTGTCTGTCTTTTGTTCTTTTTCTTTGGAGCTATGAGATCATAGCTATTATGCTATTAGCTTAACAGCTATATAATATCATTTTTGATAATGTTGTAGTGTGTCACTTCAATTCCATAGACACAATTAGTCATTAGTTGCCGTTGGTTTTTTAATCTGAACAGTGGTGTTCAGTTAGGAACATTGGAAGTCTTAGAGGCTTCACTGGGGAACAAATGTGCTGTTTGGCTTAGGATGGGGTTTCAGATGTGTTAGGCATATTTATTCTTGTTTCACCACTCAACAATTGCTTTGATGTTTTCAGAACAGACTGGCAGGTATATAGAAGAACCGTGGTCATTTGGAGGGCAATAAAAAACTGATCAAATAGGGAGCTGTGTCAGCATTCCTAGGCTGCAAAGGAACAAGTAAAGTTTATTCCATGCTGAAAAGAGAAGAAAAGAAACACAACATTTCAGCTGTGGGGCCTTCTTAGGGTGTGACACATGAAGAAAGCTCCACAATTGAAATGTGTTTTTCTTCTCTTTTCAGCATGGAATAAACCTTTACTTGTTCCAATAAAAAAAATAGAGCCAGGCAACTACAGATCAGTAAGGTTTACTTTTGTTGTATGTCATTATGAAGATGTTAATTAAAGTAAAATTGGAAGCCAATGTTTATATAGTGCTAACCTCATTAGGGATTGTCAACAATTGTTTTGAAAGTGCTGATCCTGCATGAAGATTCTAGCTTTTCTTATTTGAGCAAGCAAAAGCAGTGATGGACACAAGCAGTTCGTAATGTGATAAATATGGATTTCCATAAAGCAACTGATTAATTCCCACATAAAAACTCAGTCCTGAAGCTGTGGTGTAGGACTTGAAGGTAAGGTATGGAATGGATTGAGAACTGGGTTAATGCCTATAAAACCGTGAATAGTAGTAAAGAAACCTTGCTATCTGAGCTTCTCAAGCTGTTTTCTAATAGAACTTACATTGTGAATTTAGTGCAAACAGCAATATCTTCTGTTTCCAAATCTCTCCCTTCTCCCGTCCATTTCTTGTCGTATCTATCCTGGGAGTCCACCCTGCTATTGCCCCCTGCTGGACCAAACGTGCAGCTCATGTCAGGGACCCTCACTGCAGTTCCTCAATCTCGGGTGTCCCCACTGAGAACCATGCTGTGCTATAAGGGTCCCCATCCGTTCTCCGGCTCCACCTTGTGTCTGGAGTGGACCTCCAGCGTCTTCTCTTGGCAGATTCTCTGTCCACTGCCCCAGCACACACCTTTCCTTCCACAGCTGTGAGAGGAACACCCCCTTGAGGCACTGGTGACAACATCACTTTATTCTTCATCTCTTCCTCCCCATCCCAGTGAGAACAGCTTTCCATCAACAGCCACTTTGCCTGGCTCCTTCTCTCCTCTCTGAATGTCATCAGTCTCATTAAACTTTGCAGACCCTTGCCTTGCTGGCTCTTCACTTTTCCTGAGCATCACAGAGAACTAGGTGTCTATGTGTCTGTAATCTACGATCTTACTACCCATTTGGCAGCTCCACTTCTTACAGTTTCCATAAGCAGTCTCTGCCTTGAGCTACAGCCTTCAGCAGTGAGACCACTTAATTTACTACAGACCTCCAGAAAGTGCACTCTTCTACCACTTGCTTGCCAGTTTGGGCAGAGGTTTGTTTCTTTTAGTCTGTCCATGTAGGACATTCATTTAAATCCAGGGATGTATATGTTTGCTGTTCTCTGGACTGATTCCAGAGCAGCATGTTCTCACACTGTGGTGACCACAGTACAGTAATTGTAACACAAACCAGAGGGCACAAGTGGAGACTAAATTAAACTGAGAACAGAAGGTACAGTAGGTATTTACACAAATGTTTGTGGAAGTCTGGAACATGCTAAAGTTAATACCTTGGCTTCTTTAAATAAATAATCAGATGAGATGCAGTAACTTCTAACTACCAGATGGGCTCTATGGGTCATATGGTCTCCTCTGCTGTCTAACATGTTCTTCTATTTCATAGGAATCTGAAGGAGGTCTTACTAGTGCATTGTATAATTTCAACATAACATCCCATTTCACTTTCTATTTACAGACTCAAACAAGACTTCCTTTTCTTAAACCTCTCCAGAAGCTGACCTCAGGAAGTAACATAAAATATTATTCTCTGAGTGCAGAAAAAGTAGATAAAGCAAGCAGAAAAAAATCTAAAGCAAGCAGGAAAAAAAGTCACACAACCCCCCCCCCCCACAAGAACTTGAACGGAGAGGTAGCACGAGGGCAACTGTTTCGAAACACCAAGACCTTGGGACCCTCTCAACATACCCACGAGCACAGCGCCGAACCCAGCCTGCCCCTGCCAGAGGCACAGACGTAGAGAGGCACCACTTGGTGCTTCAGGAGGAGCTCCGAAGGTCCAAACTGCTGTTGTTCTTGCTATAAATATCAGTCTCTTGTTCATATTTTCTCTGGGGTGGTGAAATGTAAACTGGCTCCTGGACTCTGGGTGACTGTACTTGTACAGCATATTCTGTTAAGAGGCAGAATTTCCTCAGGAGTTATAGCAGGAGTGAGAGAGTCTCGGTTCGCTCTCCAGGAATAGTGTGTTGTACTGTAGGTGTTAGGGTCTTTGAGATGATGGGTCACTTGAACCTTGAGCGGTGGTGTCTTTTGGAAGACCAGTGACGAGTTTTCTTAGTGTGAGTTACCTGTGAAGCCATCTCATAATAAATAGTAAGGTATGTTACCGAGTGTGGGAAATCGTAACACTTTCTGGAATGAGAAAATGAGAGAGATCAATCAAATTAGCAGAGGTATGGTCATTAAAGGGTGTTGCTTACACTAAGCAATGTTTTTGGTTAATTTATTTTCTATCCATTCCAGTCAGTTATGTCAGAAAAGGATTTTTAACATTTCACTTCTTTCATCCATAAAAGTGTAAAGTTTCAACATTGAAGTCTTTTTATTATGGTAGGTGACTGAAACTACACACTATTGTGAGGTCTTAAAAATCTTAAGCATAATGGCCATTGATTTAAATTTCACACATTTTTCTCAATGCCCAAGTATTTTGTTTGCTTTTTTATTGCTTCACCTTTTTG